TATAGAGTCAAAAAATAGTAAAATAAAGTAGTAAAATAATAAAATGAATGTTCAATTATCAAAAAATAAAACAAAAAGCAACTATTATAGGTGCTCATAAAATTTGAACTAATTGCTCGCCGTTTTATGAGTTAAAGCTTTTTAATTCACGCCTTTTTCTCTTCTATGAGCAATTGCTCAATAGAACTCCAAAAACTCAGAATAAAAGCAATTGCTCAATTTTATTTACCTGGCCTAATATATTTCCAAATAATGTTTCAAATGTTAGTAAATCTACTCTGATAGCTGTTATTGTTGGTTATAATAACTAATAACAATAGTTAATAAAAATTTAGTTAACAATAATAGTTAATAATTAATTTACTTAATAATATAATAGTTATGTTATTGTTGGTTATAATAGATCATAAAATTCTAAAATATCTTAGAAAAACCCAATAAAACCCAGATTGCCTGGGTTTTATTGGGTTTTTTTAAGCAAGTTTTTTTTGGGTGGGTTTTTTAATGCCAATCCTGCTCTCGAGAAAAAAAAGCTATTTATTATTGCTAGAAATCGATGTAAAAAGGTACTGTCTGATGCTAAGCTCAATTATTCTTAGTTCACTAAATCATATCTTATCTGAGAAGTTAGGCTTTAGAGACTTTTGGAAAATATTTAACAACATTATTAAAATAGGTAGGTCTAACATTCCATCCCAAATTCATAGACTGATCTTAATATCTTTCGAAGGATAATGCATAACTATTTGCAAAAAACTTTTCTTCTAATTTGACCCTTTAACGTTATTGCCATTCTCTTCTTTCCATTCTATTTAAACAGATTAACCCATTGTTAGACATCAAAATCACTCCAGCATCCGCTGCTAAAGCCATATCTCAATTAAACTTTTCTACGACTTGTGGTCCAGAAAACATTTCTTTCATAGTCTTACAAAATTGGTCATGAGTCTTACATTTGGTCGTGAGTCAAATAACTTATTGTCAGAAAATCAATACAGTTTTCAATCCTCTTGCTCTACATCTGACTTGCTAACTGACTGAAAGATTTTATTATGATTGGGAATGAGGTAGTGAAGCTAGGGGTATTGCTCTTGATACGTCTGAAACTTTTGACAAAGTTTGGCTTGCTGGTGCATCTGGGAAAGATTTTGAAATTATCAAATCATTTCTTTTTAACCACTTTACTAAAGTAATCCTCAAAAGCCAAAACTCTTCTTCACATCTAGTAACTTCTGGGTACTTCAAGGTTCTATCCTTGGTCCTGATTTGTTTCTTATCTACATTAATTATCTCCAAGACAACCTTACATCTTAAGTAGCTCTTTTTGCTGATGACAGTAACAGATCAGGGCTTGCAGTGGTTTGTTAATTTTAACTCTGACAGAACTCAGTTGATTACTGTAAACAACTATCAGAATACTGTTGACATTCCTATATTAAAGAATGGCAACCCTCTAACTAAGTATTGGATTATTGTTTACAACTGGCCGTTCATGGAAAACATATATACAATCAATTGCTAAATTAGCATCTGCTAAGGCTGTTTTTTATCGTATTTTCCATTTTCTTACTCCTGATTTCATTCTCTACCTTTACAAATCTGTTATTTTTCCATAATGGAATACTGTTGTCATTTTTTGGCTGGTTCTTCTAATGATGCTTTCTCTTCTAGACAAGGTCTAGAAGAGAAAGCATCATTAAAATGATGATGATATATATATATATATATATATATATATATATATATATATATATATATATATATATATATATATATATATATATATATAAATATATATATATATATATATATATATATATATATATATATGCATCATCAAAATGATGTAAGGTCAAAATTGTCTAAACTTAGAATAGATAAATCGACTGGAGCTGATGATATAAGGCCAGACTACTTTACAATATTTAAAATGAAATTTGTGTTCCACTTTATTTGCTGTTTCGTAAATCACTTGATGATCAGGTGGTGCCAGATGATTGGAAAAGTGTCAATGTTATTTTCCACTATTTAAAAGTGGTAGTAGATGAAACAAAGAAAATTACAGACCTGTTAGTCTTACCACTTAAATTAGTAAACTACTAGAATTACTAATGTGGGATGCTTTAGTCAATTACCTTGAAATGAATCAAGCAATAGTAGATCACAACATGGATTCAGAAAAGGAAAATCATGTGTGACCAATTTATTATTGTTTTCAGGGAAGATAACAAGATTAGTTGACAATGGAGATGTGTAGATGTGATACATTTAGATTTCACAAAAGCCTTTGATAAGGTTCCTCATTGAAGATTGCTACAAAAATTGTATAGTCACGGAATTGAAGGCAAACTTTTTCAATAGACAAATTCTTGGCTAATTAACAGGGTTCAACGAGTAGTTTTGAATGGAAAAAATGAGTGGTGTTTTTTCCCCTATATTGAACGCCAGTGGCATTCAATATAGGGGAAAGATGGGTACTTTAGGGATTACATTTTATTCTATTCATTTTATTCTTTTAGGAGAGTACTATTTTTTTTTTTTTTTTTTTTTTTTTTTTTTTTTTTTTAACATCTTCGCTTCCAACAAGGCTGCAAGCAACCACTAATTAGTGTTAGAAGTTACTGGAAGAGAAAAGATGAAGGAAGAGCAAGATAACAATTGACAGATGACTTAAAAGATTGCAAATTATATGAATCAGGAAAGCAAGATGAAAGAAGCGAATTCCAAAGAACTGATGTTCAAGGAAAAAAACTAGACAAATAAGAGTTTTTGGAGCACTTAGGAACAGTAACAGAAAAAGGATGAGACTTAATTGAATGACGAGTAACACGAGAATAAATTTTAGTAGATGGTACAAGAGATGCTAGCTCTTTAGAGCAGTGCCCATTATAGTATTTGTAGAAAAAAGAAATAAAAGCAACATTACAACGATGTGACATAGGTTGAAGGTAGCAAGAGCAGGTCCAACTATGTTTATAATGCGTTTTTGCATCTTGTCTAAAAGAGAAAAAGGCATCATTAGAAGATCTGCCCCAGATATGGCAACAGTATTCCATACAAGGCCAGATTTGAGATTTATAAAGATAGAAGATAGAATCCAGAGTAAGAAATGTTGAGCTCGATAAAGAGATGCAACTTTAGCAGATGCTAATTTTGCAACAGATTTGATATAAGGTTTCCAAGAAAGATCAGAAGCGAGAGTTAATCCTAGAAGATGAAGGGTAGATGACTCATCGAGTACATTACCGTTCATAAATATAGGAAGGTCTAAATTATTGCGATAACGATTGGCTGAAAAAAATTGAGTTTTATCTGAATTAAAGTTCACCAGCCACTGTGAGCCCCATGCTGTAGCAGAAGTGAGACCCTCAAAAAACTTAAGGGCATATTATAATGATCAGTATTAGGTCCAATCCTATTTTTGATATATATATTAATAATCTGGATACTGGTGTGACAAACTATATATAATAATTTGCCAATGATACCAAAATATTCTCTGAAGTTAATACCAGAAGTGATGGTTTGCAAATCCAAGAAGATCTGCAAAAACTTGTTAAGTGGTCTGAATGGCAAAGCAATTTAAAATGCAAAGCTATGCACATCAAAAAAAAGAACATTGGTTAAGAACGCAGTTTAAACAGGGTTATTTTAGAAGAAATCGAGACTGAAAATGATCTTAGGGTTGTAATGTCACATGATTTGAAAGCATCTAACCAGTGTATGAGAGCTTATGGTAATGCAAAAAAAATTCTGGGAATGATAAATCGCACAATTGCCTATAAACAATCTGATATTATGATGAAACTATATAAATTGTTAGTTCATCCACACATAGAATCTTGTACATCTATTTGGTCACCTTTTTATGTCAAAGATAAAGAACCAATTAAATACAAAAATCGAATACTAATTGAACACAAAATTGTTTTAGTAAAATGATAATAGAAATGGAACATCTATTGCATCTAGAAATAACAGTCTAACTAGGTCTATGGTCACTTGAGGAACAAAGAAACAGATCGGATTTAATAGAACTGTACAAGATGACGCATAGGTTTTCTACTATTTCATATAAAAATTTTTTTGAATTAGCCACAAACAAAAGAACAAGAGGTCACCCACTTACATTGGTTAAGCATAGATCCGCAACTGTGGTCAGACAATATTTCTTCTTGAAATGTGTAGTCTAACTCACTTGATAATGATACTGTAACAGTCACTTCCCTAAATTGTTTTAAATCAAAACTTATTAAATTACGCACAACAAAGATGGGCTTCTTTATGGACTATTGTTTACATAGCTCAATTGGTCATAACTGGATTGCTTTAGCAATACTGGTATGGTCAAACCAGGTAAATAACCGTGTAAATAAAACAATGGTTTTATTCAAATTCTAGATAAAATAACTAAAAAAAAAGCCAAAAAATAAAATAAAAACGTTTGGTTATCTAGTCAATATCATACATAAGTTTGTATAACTTGATCAAATCTTATCTTTTTCTTCTCTCAGTTAGAGTTGTCAAGCTCTTAATTAAAGTTTTCAAGAATATTATCTTGACATTAATCAACCTTCATATTTGAGACTTATTTTTAATTGCAATAAAGTCTCTTTTTATACAAGGAGAACTGCAAATTCATAAAGTGGGCAAATAAATCTTATAGAAATTTTATAGGTTGATAGTTGAATCTTGGAAACAATTTCTTTATTCTGCCCATTACTTTATTAGCACTGTTTCAGTTGCCTACCCTTATCATTTTTATGATTGATTTAGATAGAGAATTTCATGCTGATTAAGAATTGTATAAAAACATTGACCTGAAAATTTTGGGAAAGCACTCTAATTTGATGCTAAAGTTTAAAAAACTACACTAAAAATTCAGTTAATAAAAAAATCTCCTGTGAGATTTTTTTATTAACTAAATTTTTGAAATTTAGATGAAACTGACAGTTAAAGAAAAAAATTTATTAACTAGGTTATAAGGTATTGAAACTTACTGTTTGATAAAGCAACATATCTGCAAATTTTCATTGACATTTTTATTATTTGTTTATTATTTCTTTTAATTTTATGTTCTTATATTGCGGTACCGGCGCTATTGGAGTGATACAAGTGTGAACGGTAGCCGAGACAACGAATGTCTACTTGTCTAGTTAAATTTGAAAATTTACAATAACAAATTATAAACTTAAATAAATAAGGTAAGGTTTCACTCGTATAATTTAAAACTAGTCATTGGGGTGACATCTAAAAAAAAGACAATGTTAAATAAAATATAGAGAGAGAAAAAAAAAAAAAAAAAAAAAGGTAAACAAAGAAACTAACATAAAGAACATAAATAATAAAAAATAAAAAAAAATAAATTATATAAATAATATGTAAAAGCAATAGTAATAAAAGATACAATTAATATTCGTCTAGATATATAAATAACTCAAATAAAAAAAATTCCTTATTTTGTTTCTATTGCAATATTTTAGAGTGTTGAAAAAGGATTGGTAGAAATTACCATTTTCATTATTTCAAGTACAGTATTTATGTATCGCTCGTTTTAAGAAATAAATTATTAAATGAGTTTGGTAGATTATTTTGGGTAAAATCAAAGACAAAAACACAGTTATAAATCTTCAAAAGACGTTGAAATTTTATATTTTTTAATTCAGAAGACCAATTTTGTATATAAGGTTGTAAAGAGGAAAATGTCATAATTCTTATGGGTGTGCATAGTAAACTGTTTATACGATTTTATAGAAAACTTCTTATTTGACTGCAAACAATGCAATAATAGCTTAAATGGATAAACTGATTTCAAAGTTTGTTCAGGAACATAATATTGTATTAAAAACAACTTTCTATTGGCACCTAAAAACTTTTTTATTTAATTAAATTAGTTGATAATACCATGACAGGTTTCATAAAGAAATACCCTGAGATATTTTATATATTTATATTTTTATATTATATATAGTTGGGAAAAATCTCTTTCCCAACTATATATAAACCATTAGTTCTAATTTTCACGTTATCAATCTTTATTTGGAACAACGACAGATAAATAAATCAGTTTTATTAATATTTAGAAAAATACAATTACTGTTTAACCAATGACACAAATGATAAAGATCTGAGTTAACTTTTTGACAAAGCTGTGCAAGTGATAAAAAACAACAATTGGCCGAATTCTTTTGATAACAATAGCTTTTTAAAAGATCTTTATATCACATGTATAGAGTAAACTTTTGCTATTCAAAACATGTTTGTAAATTTTGCAGCATTGCATACATTCCTCACATTCATAGGGTGGGGTAATGTGGATCTAAGGGGTAATGTGGGTCTCATCAACATTTATCAATTTTTCAGAAGAAAGGTTTTAGGAAGAATTTTTTTCTGTATGTTATAGGTGGTTAAAACAACTCTCTAAATTTTTATTATTAGCTTACTAGACAAATTCTAAAGTATATTTTTTAATCAAAATGGCGCATACCAAGAGAGATTTTTTTTATCGAAAACCATAAACTTTAGAAAAAGGGTATTAACATAGAAAGTGTTTTATCTGGAAGAAAAATTACAAAATAATTAGGTTCAATTAGTTTTAAGACGGAATAATGCATAGTTTTTTTGAAATAAGCAACATTTTTAGGTAAGGTAATGTGAGTCTTTATGTCAATGTGTTTTGTACTGTTAAGAATCTAATGCTTATACAATAATAAATAACTTTAAAAGGAAAATTAGTATAAATTAGAAGTCTGACTATGTTTCTGGATTCATTTTGGGGAGTCATATAGCTATGGAGTCCTTTACTGCGTTATCTACTAGTTTTAATTGAAAAGATGATATAATTACATCTCATTATAGATGTAATGATATCATCTTTTCAATTAAAACTAGTAGATAACGCAGCGTAGCAGTTTTGAAGGATTGCACATTGAATTTTTATCATAAAAACATGTCGTTTTTGTAGGATAATGAATTTCTTATTTATAACACAAAAATTTTGTATAATTTTCAATTAAGCTTTCGCTTTAAATTTTTCCTTAAACATAATTTCATCATGCTTTGACTTTTATAAGCACTTCGACTTTTAAACTGGAATATCATATATTCAATTTAGAGAATGGTATTATGATTTATTCTATATATTAAAAAAATTTATAAAAAAAAAAATTATTGAAATAAAACCACAAGAATGCTTTGCATTCTTTGGAAATCAGCAAACAGAGGTAGAAAAAAATATTCAACGTTTCTAATTTAGTGCTGAGAACAAGTAAAGTTTTTTTGCGTTTAAAACATCTAGTAAGATCTTATAACTGTCCGGGATTAAACTTTTTGTTCGACGCTATAACCAACAAAGCTATCCAACCACAAAAAGTACTATTATGTTTAAGCTTATGATCAAATAATTTAAATATAATTTTATGTTGGTTTCATTGGAAAAAAGTTATACAAACGTACTAAGACATTGGGCTCAGAGGAGGAGCTCAATCTTAATCTATGTCAAGTTTATGGCTAAAACACTGCCCAGCTATTTGTTGAACAGCTGTGATTAAATACTCCTATCCGTGCACAAATTACTGGTCTTTGGCCATCAAGTTATAAGAGCTCATATTTGATGTTTTAGGGTATTTTAAAAGAAAGCAAAGGAATCCAAGAAGAAGGTTTTTTGGGAGCTCTTCATAAGGAAGATTTTAAAACAAACAACACACATAGATAAATTGACCTCTGCTCATTGGATCCAGCCATCATCTAACTAAAGAGAAGTGTTGGTGACAAGAGTGGAGAATTTAAAACTCTAAAAGAATGCAAAGCCTTAGTTGAATAACTTTTATCAGGACAAATATTTTTTTTTATATGTAGTTTTAAAAAAAGTAAAGTTTTACTATGTTATTATAATTGATACTTAATATTAATTATTTAAATGACGATATTCTTTTTTAGTTTATTTATATAAATACCTGACATTGAACACATGTTTAGATTTGTTTCATGAAAAAAACATTGACCCCTATACTTTCAAAGAAGACGTAATGCTAACGTAATTTTTTTTTAAAAATCAATATTTTAAAATAATGTTGACAAAATAAAAACAACTGTACTATGCTATAAATCCATTTTTTTAAACTCATTTTTCCCTCTTTTTTTAACCTTCATAGTTTAAAGCAATTTTCTAAATTATACGAATAACCAATCTCAAACAAATAAAATAAAGCAGAGTGTAATAACGGACAACGTTCCGCAATATATAAAGTTTGCTGTTGGCTTCAAATCACTACCAGAGCTTTCTAATTCAAGAAAAGTCGCTACATCATCGCTTTCAAAAACACTTAATGCGCTTGGCGATATTTCGTCGATAAGTTGAGTAATGTTCAAGCGATAATTAATGACTTGAGAAATCAAAGACAACAAACATAAGCATGTTATTTTTTTCATTCTTGCATATATTTGTTTACTGTAACATTTTTCTTGATCAATAAAATTAGAAAAAAAAAAAGATACTAGGAAATAGTTAATGCTCACACAGCATGTTCTTTTTAAATCTTATTCGGTGTAAAATGTTTTCTGAATAAATCATCCATGCAGAAATTATTTCTGTTTCATTTGTAGAGTTCAAAAGCGGGTATAATGGAGCGACGTTTAAAATTGGACAACTTTTGTATTTTTAGTTTTTACGAATTATCTTTTAAAGAGAAAGTTATTTTGAATTTTTTTTTTTTTATACAATATTTTTAAAAAAATCATTTTTTTATAACTTTTATACAGTAATTAAAATTACAGTAAAATAAAACTAATTGATTTTTAATTAAAAAATTTTAACAGAAGTTAAAAAGAGTTACTGCGAGTATTTATTATTTTATATTTTAATAACTATTTTTTTAAATTTTTCCTAGTAATGGAAATATATAATAAAATATCAAAAAAGTTTTCCTAGTAAATGAAATTTAAATAAATTTTCAGCGCTAAACTTAAAATGTTGTTTGAAGTAAAAAATCAGCTGAAAATTTTTTACTTTAAACCAGAAAAAAAAAACGAAAAAAAAAAATGAAATAAAGAGATTAATAAATATTTAAAAAGAAATTATACTCTAAGCGAAATTAAATTCTAAAAGAAATTATACTCTAAGGAAACACGAAAAGTCTTCGATAGCAAGAACTACAAGTTTCAACAGATACAATGTTCAAAGTTTTTTAGTAACTTGGAGAAGTGTTACCTAAAGTATAATTTTTTTCCAAATATGATATGGAATTGTGACGAAGCAAGATGTATTGAGACGAGACAGGATGTACTACAGTGACTTATGCACCAAAGATTATTGTGCAAGCAGTTGTTAAAAGAGTTGGTTAAATCAGCAGGTGGAATTCCATATCATATCTGGAAATATGATCATATTTCCTGTATTCATATTTTAAAGAGCCCTACTGGTACTTCGGGGCTTGCAAATGTGTCTGGTTAGATATGACTTTTTAAAAGCTTTAATATATTTTTTTTCAAGCCCACTCCAGAATCTTCGGTTTTAATAGTTCTCGATAATCATAAAACTCATATAGCCAATAATGTAATGCTTTATGTTAGAAAAAATAACATTATGATACTTACCTTTCCACCTTACCGCAGTCACCGCTTACAACCCTTAACGTGACCTTATTTGGACATTTCAAAGCTCGATATAAAACTAGTATGAACAATTGGATGACTTATAATCCTGAAAAAACTGTGAAAGTTTATAATGTGACTAAATTTGCCAAATACGCTTTCTATGCTGTTTTTAACATAAATAGTATAACATCTGGATTTAAAAACACCGGTATTGAAAGGGTTTAAACTTTATATGGTTATTATTTTTAAACGATGAGAGATAATACTTTGAAACTTAAAATTTATTGATGAGCATAAGTCAAGTTAAGAATAATAAAAAAACATTTTATTAACTTGTTGCACTCTCGTTTTGGGTGGGGGAGGGGTTAGGGGAAGAAATTTTAGGGCATTTTTGTTCCCAGCCACCAACCAATGCAATTTTTTGCAAAGCATCATTATTTGACATTAGTATAAATTTGCAAATGTCAAATATCAAAAAATGCTGGACCCATCACTTTGTATAATTTGAACAAAAAAGACACATGAAATCTGTGGTATTAAAGGTGTTCTTTT